TTGCTTCCAACAATGTTTGGGTTGGGGGGGATATCATCCATGAGCGCGAGGGCGCAAGGCAGAGGACATCACTCTATGTGCAGTGAGCCACCTCCTCCTGGCACTCAAGGCGCTCAGTCATGGCATGCAGAGAAACTGGAGCTGGTTCCCCCCATGCTTAGATGTGTGGCTCAGACCTCTGAGCTGTCTTTGGAGCTGTGTCTGCAACACACTGCACTTCAACTAATTCCATAATGTAAATCTTGGAAAGGCTTTTTAACTTGGAAGCAGCGTCGTGCAAATGCGGCTGTGCCGAATCTAAAGTTTCACTGCTAATGAAGTCTTCCTGTGCTGTTTGCTTTTTAGAAACTTTCCTACTTATGCCTTTGATAGATGAAAAATTTCTTCTACATCATTCTTCATTATATAGTGTAGATATATGCTAAATATGTCATACCCACAGGGTGAAATGACAGCACTGAACAATCAGAGGCTAATATACCATGCGTTAACTTCCCCACTTCGTTGTCTGCGGTGGGGAGTCTGACACCTAATTGGTGCAAAACCCACCAGACTTGTTAAACTATGGACACTGTTTTTGCTAATAACACTTCAGGTGATCAGGTATTAGCCATGGTAAGATATTATATGTACAACTATTTATTACAAAATTTCAACTTCCTACAAATTCAGAGTGGTGACTTACAGACGTCCCTCATATCTCTATCGCAGAACCTGTTCCTTTGAGAAAAAGTGATAATGTCATCTCTTCTACATCACATGTTAAAAGATGAGGGGATTCAGGTTGTAATAGCTTTTCCTGTGCATAATACTATTCAGGATTTGTAAATTTAAAAGGGCCTTGTGCTGGCTAAAGGGACACAAACCCTCAAATTAGCAGTAGGTTTAAATTGTGTTTGCAGTAAGCAGTACAAAACACTGATTATTCACATGTCCTGTCACTCCAGACTTGGTGTTGGTTCAGGCCATTGCTTACTGACTTCTGTTGGCTTCACTGAACCATTTTTACAGTGCAGACACGATTAAATCTGTGTCAGAAAGCAAGCAGGGACAGTGACACTGAGCAACAGAAATGATTTCGGCTCAAAGCAGAATATGAAAGCTGGGAAGAGAGGGTGAGTATTATTGAGTCTAAAACAATGTGACTGATCCATTCTTATTAGGAATGAATAAAAAAGTATAAATTTGACTTTCAAAATATTTTTTAATGTTTCTCTAGAAGAACTTAGAAGTTTAACAACATACTGGGCACTTCGTGAAAAGTGCAGGCTCAGGCTGAAAACCCAAATATTTAATAGCCAAACATTTCTTAAGGAAAAATCCTTCCATCAAAAAAATCTGTAGCTGTCAAGGCAGCCTGCAGAAGATACATGTGGAAGATACACATGGAAGGCAGGGAACTGGGAATTATGGGGAAGCACATGTTTACTAATGAGAAAGTTCTCCATTCTAGAATCTTATTTAATTTTGAAATGCTCCAGTTAAAAAAAAAAAAAAAAAGCACAACATATTTTCCTTTCTCATCTACATTTCAGTAAATGTAAAATTATAAATGTAAACCAATTTAAAGTACATTTAATTTCCTTTCTAAAATCACCAAGTGTAGTCAAATATATTTTTCTTGTTTATCCTCAGAGGGCTCTAGACTTCATTGATACCGCAGTGTATGAAGAATTTAGGACTAGGCATTAGTTACAGAACATCACAGTGCTGCTCTGAGCTTATTTTGTTAACCCAGACTGTTGTTTCTCTGTGGTTACTTGTAGCAACTGTATAGACAGACATGGCATGGTTATTCCTTACCAGCTCATTGCTGCCATCCTCATCAAAATCCTCCTCTATCCCATCAGTCATCTCTTCTCCATCCCCATCTGCATCTGGCCCTCCTTCAATTGGCTCTTCTGTAGAGTTATCTGCATTCTCTGATATGCATTCCTCTTGAATCAAATCAGCATTATCTTCCATTTGTTTCTTTTGAGCTTCTGTAAGGAAAACATACTCTATAGAGATTCAGTAACCTTCCCTATTGGTGGCTAAGAAAAGTGCTCTGAGGAAGAAACCTAAGTTTCCCATCTCCAGATGTCCTAGCTTTGTAGAAATCAGTGTGTTAATATCTACCAGGCAAACACGATCAAATCCCTTGTTTTCAAAAATTAATGCATAAAGCAACCATAGTACCCACATGCTCATCTATCCCATGCAGTGGATGAAGGCTTGATTTACCAGCGGATCCAGCTTTTTGATTTTCTGAACTTTACTTTGCTTTGGGATTCCACTTGGCATAGTCACTATGTATTTATTTATTTGTAGCCAATGAGAAGTACATAAATCTCTGTGGTCTGAGAAGCCCAAGGCTGCTAATTGCCAATAAATGGACAAGAATTTGCATAAATTTGCTGTGAATATATCTCAACAACCATACAGATAATCAACAAATCCCTCTAGACCACTGAACATATTTTTTATGGAGTAAAGTAACAGTTTCTCCCTGTTCGTATAATGTGCCAAGGTAACTGGAGGGCTTCCTATAATTTCTGCAAAGCGATGAAAAGAAAGACCAGTTCCATGGAGGCCCAGAAGATCTGTTCTGGTTGACTTAGCACTGATAGCTGCATTGTTGTGATTATGCGTTGCGAGACTCCTGGACGTACTGAGGAACTTCATCCAGCCAGCAGAAATCCAGAGTAGGACTGAGGGAGGAATGACAGAGACAGACTGTCCAGAAGAGTGGTTGGAGGGATCAGAATCTTATTCCTATGCACGTCAGGAGTTTAGAAGACAATCTCTATGTACTCAAAGGGAATACAGGCCAGACAATCGGTTGCGTGTAGCTGGAATACGAATGTCTTTTCAGTCTGAGGGTGACAATACTCATCAAGGATCAAATTTCCAGAACAAACCCATTTCTTTCTTTGTAGATTGACTGTTCTGTAACACTAGTAGTGTTGGACAGCCTATGAATCTGCAGATTGCTTGTGAAGCTCTCTATTTTTCAACTCTATGAATATATTACTATTTTACTATAAATTATTACCAGCTGCATATAATATTCAAATCTGCTCATACTTTTCTGTATCATAGTCTTAAACCAAGACATTTGTTTTTCCTTCTATCTCTGCACATTTGTTTTGCATTTTACTTTAATTTCTTCAGCCTTTGTTAGTCTCTGATCCCTCATTTTCAAATTCATTTACTGAACACACATAACAAGTAAGCTTTTCTCCCTTAGTCACATAATTCCTTCAGAAAGATTTTTGGACTTAAAGAATAAAAAGTCATCTTAGATAATTGTTTTGACAGTACTGTAGTCATGTATATTAGTCGAAGATTCAGCCCATGGAGCCTCATCATCCATTGGTAAGGTGCTCTATACAATATCATGCTAGTTATAAGTCATTGCGTTACTCACCTTACTGCACAAGTAAACGTGGATTGAATCAGCTATTCCTACTAGGTCCTGCCCCACCACCTTCTGCCTCGAGCCACTTCTGAGATTAACCCAGCCTTGGCAGTGACAACTGAATCAACTTTGGTCAAGGCTTTCAAAAAAGATTCCTGAAATTATGGACTTAATACACAAATGGGAAAACTTTTAGTATGCAGCTGCTAAAAAATTAGGTCACTTACTTGTCTGAACGAGAACATAGACTGGGTTCTTCAGAGGGGTCTAAATTACCAGCTCAGCTTCTAACTCTTTCGGGCTCTTCTGAGAAGCTAAACTTAAGATCCTACCTTTCAGCACCCATCTCTGATATTACAGGGAGAATATTCTCCTCTAACAATTTTTTCGCATCAGAACAGCTTCTTATCCCTGGCTTCCTGATCCAGATTTTTACAAAAAAAAGGAACTATTCCTTCAGTTTCCCTACGAACAGGAAATCCTCTTATCTATATTCCCCTTATTGGCATGGTTAGGGGTTGATAATAGTAAAAGACAGAACATCAGCCGTTATTGCAAGGAGAGTTTTCACGCAGCTGTAGAGCAGTAACCAATGTATGGACTGAGCTTGTCCAGCTTGCCTGTTTAACCTGTTGCATTTCTCCAGATGGGTAACTTCTTTTGTAATAATTGTGTATTCTTTGATGAAAGTGATGCAAACTTAAAAACCCAAAAGAGCAAGATAATGGCTTGATTTTTGTTTTGTGTAAATGAGACATCGATCCTCTCTCTGATCCCAGTCTGAGGCCACACCTTCTAGCAGAGGAAAGTAAGAAATAATATTGCCAAACCACAGAGATAGAACAAAATCATCTCACATCTGACACAGAAAATGAAATAGTTCAGGTACTGATGTAGCTTTATCTTATAAAAATCTTTTAGCTGAGGAAGCAATCATCTGCAGACTAATCACCCAGGCTGCATAACCATCTTCATCAGCTCAGGAGATTTAAATAGGGATCCAGGTTTACTGGTATCTTCGAGGTATTTTTTCTCCTCACGCCTTCTGATGAGAGGCAAGGAATATGGGGAATAGGTTTTGCACCTGATGCTTTAAAACATCAACAATTTGAAACTAGTTTTTAATTTCTGAGGAGATTATTCATTGCTTGTTTTCAAAAGGCATAACAGTATGATTCAATACAAATCAACGTTTTCCTCTTTGAGCTGATTTCTATTTAAATGAGTTCACTACAATCCTTTAGCAGAAGTGAAAATTGGATATCAAAGTACAATGACATGCAGGTTGTTTTGCATAGCAATGGATTTTATATGAAAGCTCCCTAAAGTAGGGATGTGCCATCTCAGAGCATTTCAGTACACAAGCGATTCAATGGAGTGCCTTGCAATTACATCTTCACTGATTATACCAACTTTTATCTAACTTGCATAAAGTACAAAATAGAATATAATGAATACATATTGTGTATGGTTCTCCTAAAAGAGATAATCACACTCTGTACTAATGGCTTACCTTAGGTTTGGAAAAAAGCACTCAACTTATTTTGTGGGGTAAACTATAACAGCTGAGGGATTGGTCCTTGTCTGTCAACTTAGAAAATGATTGTAAATAAAAGGTAGGGTTTTTTTTAAAGAGCTGGGTGGGGTTTTTTGTTTGTTTTGGTTTTTTGGTTTTTTTACAACTGTTAACTGCAAAACTTTTTCCTGTAGTGGTCTGCCCTAGGAAGACATTCGTTAGGGTTATTTCTGAATGCCAGCAGAAAACTTCTGGGATCAGAGAGAAACCCCCACAATAGAACAGGAAATACGGCAGGCACTTGGAAACAGGAGGGATCCAGATCTAAATATCTATTTTGCCTGTGTCAGGTTCATGAACCTCAACTGCTAATTCCCACCAATGTTTTAGGCAGTCATGATGGAGCTCTCTTTATGTGTCCTGTTGGGTCTTTTTGACTTCATGTAACTGACTTGAGTTAGGCAAGGGACACAAATTTGAGTGACCACTCACCCAGGCAGCTGTGGATTCTAAGGCAGAATTTCTTTCACACATTTCACACAAAATATATAAACAGTTTTAATCAGAGAATAGAGGGGGAAAAAAAAAAAGAACATTGAGATTTTTCACGAGATAAGGCTTCCATTTCCCCACTGGTCCTCATAAAAATCAGCTTGCTAGTACACAGCTCCTGTACAGAGAAATACCATGTGATTTATGAGGAAATAGTCAAGGAAATACCATAGACAGTGGTAAAAAATGAGATTGTTTTCTATATGTACTGTGGCGAAAATACAACCTTATAAATCCCTTATAACTGCTCAGCATGGCTTTAAAGTGCTGCCAGGTGAGATCATTCAGCTAACAAAATGATCACTGCAATGATAGAAATAAAGATCTTGATTAAAGGAAAAAGTAGTGTTGGACTTTGTCATTCCCAAGGTTTGCCTCAAAACAAAACATTTCAAGCCAGAAAAATGCTGAACTAGAGGTGCAGCTGGTCTTACAGAGATGCCACAAGTTCACACAGTATCTTAGGTTGGAGGGGATCTCTGGACTCTCCATGTCCAACTCCTCTTCAAAGCAGGGCCAAACTCAAAGTTTGGTCCAGGTCCATGGGGCCTTGGCCCAATAAGTTGTGAATGTCTCCAAGGATGGAGCTACTACAATCTGGGCAGCCTCCTATACTGCTTAGTTGCATCTCTTTTCCTTATATCAAACAGGAATTTCCCTTGATGCATCTTGCGACTATTGCCTATTGCCCAGGCAATAATTCCTAATATAGACCATCTAATAATTCTTAATGTGGATAGCACAAACATCCCCAAGGTCAACAACCTCTAACTTAATTCTGTTCAGTCAATTTTTAGTGATGTTTTGTTTCCAGAACATCTAGTAAGAAACTTTCATTTTCTTTTTTTTTTCTTCTCTACTACACTATAGAAAACAATTCTTGAAATGATGTTGCATGCTCTGTGAAGAATATTATTTTATTCTCCCAATAGTTCTACCTGAGAGTTAATTTGCCTTGTTTCATGCCTCCATTATGTAGCAAAATTTCTGGAAGGCTTCTGTTCTCTCTGGTCTGTCTGCCTGACTGATAACTAGGTTCTAAATTAATTCATTTGGCTACAAATTGCTTTCACCTACCTGCTTCAGCTTTTTGCTGCTTTTCGATCTTTTCCAGTCTCCCTAGCAAGGAGTCAATTTTTGTTTTGATTTGGGTTAATTCCTTCTTGATTGTTTGCAACTCATCTGATTTCACTGTGGAAAGAGAGCAAAGATGCATAACATGAAATAAACTATATTTGTAGCCCCTCATGAACAAAACATGCTCTTTTTTTTCTTTCCTCTGTAGTACAAAGTCTACTCTCTCATTTTTGTCAGTATTTTTAGAGATTAAACTTTTAGACCAAAAATTGTTAGTTAAAAATGCTGAATCCTAACAAATCACAGGATTCTAAGCCCTAATGGCAAGAGTTTATGTGAGGTGTATTGCTCTGTAATAAGCATTTCAGGCAAAACATCTCAAGGGCATTCTCAGTAAATCCAAGTATCTTTTACTGAAAAACAGCCTATAGTGAAAAAAATCATTCAAATATGACAGACAGTTCACAGTGTTGCAATGCTATTTTGCTGGGCTATTTTGTAATAATAGCAACAATAGTAAAAAGATCCCTCACAGCAGCAGTAGGCATTTTTCACCAAGAGTGAATGGTGACATAAATGTTAGGAGAGCCAGGAATGCAATGTAATGTTCCAGTCAACAACTTCATTGCAGTAGGTGTTAAGTATTATTGCTTCAAAAGCTTACAGTTCTTGTAATTTCTTGCACTTTGTCCAGCTGTGGATAACTTATGAAAATATTTCTTTTTATGATCACATCCAGGGTCATGGAGGCAACGCTTAAAACTTAAGAGCTGAAATTTCCAAATCTTTGTTGCGTTGCATTATTCTTCATTTATATTCATTATTGCACTCCCATTGTCTAACTTAAGAAGTAACTCCTTTGGAGGTGCTTTGGCTTCAGAAGAAACAGCACTGCAGCACTCATGAATGACCTCATTATTATGGTATTATCAGGTCATGTTTTTAGGCTCAGAAGATAGTCCAAACAAATCCACTTGCCCTGTCTGTGCTAGGATATCATGTTGAAAAGGCCAAGAGGAGGAAATGGGAACCCTGTGCCAGCATGAGAGAAAAAAGCCATTTATAAAGTTCAACAGTAGATAACACAGCTGTCACTCTTACAACTCTTGTAGGAAGAAATGGGCCATCACCTTAAACTGTGAGGAACTGGCAATGGAAAACCACTGAGCAATATTACTAATCCATCCTTACGGTTGCTGAAGGAGGACGTGCATTGACTTTGGTGTGTGCATCCAGAGCAACGGGAGGGCCCTTAGTAAGCCTGGAAAAGGGATGTTCTGCCATGGAGAAGGACACGTACCCTTTCTGTTCAAAGGGTCTCCTTGCTGCATCTTCCCATATCAGTCCCATTCATTGACTTCTGGGCATTTATGTCATCATGGAGTTTGATGGGTATTTTTTATCAGACAGTCAAAATCTGATGATGAAGTGTGCAGGCAGGGTACTGCCTGCCCAGTGGTAGTATATGAGTATGCATTTACTTCAGCCTTATTGCAAACTTGGAGAACATTCACTGAGGTTGAAACCAAGGCTTTGTATCTTAAGAGTTTGGGTCATGTGCATTATAGTTATAACAAGTCAGCTAAAGGCAGTAGGTTGCTATATATGGTACCAAACTTGTTTCATCATGTGCTCACATTGAGAAATTGTAAATCTCGCACTATCATAGGCTGAAACCTTTGATCTTATATTGAATGAATGGTAGGACTCAGAGAACAAAGCTTAAAAGTAACCTTTGTGCTATACCCTTATACGCTATATAGCATTTGATGGAATTTTTCTGTATATTTATAGAGCAAGGCCTTAAAATGTTCTTAGAGAAATATAACGGGTCACTGTCCAATCCCCCAGATCTGTAACAAAACATTAAGATTCTGACAACTGTATATTTAGAAGATTACTGCTTCCCCAGGGGCAGTGGCTGGTCCATGCTGGAGTAGCAAGGCAGCGCAGATTCCAGGGTGAAATGGTGTGAATCTGTCCAATGGAGAATGCTAAGTGTTTGCAGCAAGGTGCTATGAAGCCAGCTGGCACTACATCCCGCGCGGCCAAGCTGTCGTGTTCGGGGTGCTCCCTTGACTGGAGAACAGCAGGCTTGCCGGGGCTAAAAGGTCAAAAGTCAGAAGTGACACTGCAAGGACCTAATGGTATGTGTTCCCAGTCTAAAAAGCAAAGCAGAAAACATTTGCACTTCTGAGTTTGGTAAGGAAACAGGTACATACATAGGGCTACTGTTCAACTCGGGTCAAACCTTATCATTCACGTTTAATGAGGTGATTCCATCATATAGTCAATCACTTCAAGTTAACACTAAACAGAACTGAAAGAAAAAAGGAGAAAGATTTTCAACAGATCTGCACAAGTTCCAGATTTCCACCCTAGTCCCAACATTGTGATGGTGATTATTTGAGTTGATTGCTGTCTTAATTTGTGGGGAATTGTACAAATCTTCAAAATCATTCTAGAGACATTCCACTCTCAGTTATATTGAACTGGGTATTTCTGCAGTAAGCAGCAATTACTAAAGACAAATTATGAAGGGTCCTGATAAACAACAAGCTGAAGATGAGCCAGCAATACACCCTTGTGACAAAGGCAGCCATCAACATCCTGGGCTGCATTAGGAGGAGTGTTACCAGAAGGTTCAGGGAGATGATCCTTCCCCTCTATTCAGCACTTCTGAGGCAACATCTGGAGAACTGTGTCTAGTTCGGGGCTCCCTAGTACAAGAGGGAATGAAGAAGACAAAGCCAGACTCTTCTCAGTAGTGCCCACTAACATGTCAAAGACCACTGGCACAAAAGAAACAAAAGAAAGCATATGAAATTCCATCTAACCACAAGAAAACTTTTTTTCCTGCTTTTTTTTTTTTTTTTTTTTTTTTTCCCTGTGAGGGTGTTCAAACACTTGCACAGGTGGCTCAGAGAGGCTGTGGACCCTCCACCCTTGGAGATATTAAAAAGCTGTCTGGACACAGTCCAGGGAAACCTGCTGTGGGTGACCCTGTTTGAGTAGGGCAGTTGGACCAGATGAGCTCCAGAGGTGCTTTCCAAACTCAACCATTCTGTGATTCTGTGATTCAGAGATAGAGAGCTTGGGAAAAGCTTCAGCCTTTTTAAGCACAGTGTTATGACAAAGACAAAATGTAAAGATGGTAAATACTGTACTTCAGGTGTCCTGCTATGAGTTTATAAATTCTCCTTTAAAACTTCACAGGCTTTTTTTTTTTTTTAAATTGATCTCAGGCAAGAAATAAAGCAGTTGATAAACATAAAATAAGAAATAAAGCAGTTGATAAACATGAAACCAGAGCTGCGTCTATTCAAAATACCTGTTCATCTGCTTTTCAGTAATAGAATAGGAAAATAAAGTAGCTTACTGCTTTTTTTTTTTCCTATTAGCAGGTAAGCAAAGGTCAGCAGGTGACAGAAATGCATGTATTGAAAGGGAAATAAATGACTAATGAAATTCTGCAAACACTGGCACCAAAATGGCTAAATAATATCTTCACACCTTTGAAGCAAAAAAGTAAATAAACAGGTGAAATTTGCTGATGACACGAAATTGGAAGGTACCACTTATTTAGAGTGAACTAGAATGAAAGGAGGAGTCAGGTGATTTTAAAAAATGCTACATTAGAAAAAAGATGAAATATAATTGCACTGAAAAAGTCCTACACTTGACTGACTAACAGTAGAACTCCTACTCCTAACATTGAAGCTCATCAATGGAAAAAGATGGTTGCAGAATTATCCTTGGGTTTAGTTGCAATCTCAGTTTGACAATAGGCTATCACTATAATGCAGCCATGAGAAAGAACATGCAGTGCTAGGATGTGTCAAACGAGGGATTGCTAAAGATGGGGAATTACAATGCTGTTGTACAAGGACCTGGTGAGAGCTCATGTGGAATAATGTGTACAGGCCGAACCACTGAATTCTAGCAGGTACAGGAGAAGGGCCATGAAGATGACCGTAAGAATGGAACACCTATAGTGTGACAGAAGATTTTTGCTTGTTTGCCTGAGACAAAAGAAGCTAAAAGTAACTACAACTTTTAATCTAACACAGTGCTGGCACAACAAATGGACATGAACAAATGAGAAACAAATTTAAGATGGAAATTAGAAGAAACAGAGACAGACAAAACCCAAAACCTAACTAGCTTTAAGGTGGAGCTTAAAGGATTAAATGATGTGGCTGCTTGCAACAGTAAGGAATTAGATTCAGCGACCCTTTCCAGCCCCCTGCCAGGAGTACAAGGGCCTTCCAGAATGCATCTTTCATTGAAGCATCTAGCACCAAAGGAGACAAACTGCATCCAGATCAAAATAAGAGATTTAAAACTGGGGTAAATCACATTTTTAGAAATGAAGGTGCTACTTTTGAATTACATCCATATTTGTAAAACATTTTTTGCCATAACTATAAATTGATTCATTCACAAAGCATGATTAAGATTTCTTTGGAAAGAAATGCCATGTATTTTTATCTAAGCTTTTCATGTTTAATATTAAATATTTTATCACATTGTATTACTTTAGATTTCACTGAAAAAAAGTTTAGCTGATGAAGCTAAATATAAACTATATGAGTCAAAATGAATTAACTTAAAGGCATAATTCAGTAAATATTGTAACATCTTAAGTGTCTACTCCTTAATCTCAAGCACACAGAGTATTAAAAAATTTGATTAATGTTTTCCTCCTGTTTTCAGATGTGTAAAACGAAAGTGCATACTCCAAGAGCTTCAGTTTCTATATTGTCAGAAAAAGCGATTTTTTTCCCCAGTTCTAAATAGCAGTCTGCATCTGCTGTTTCATACCATTAACATGAAGAACTACTTACTATGTGTAGTTACCACACCAACTTGTTTCATTTTATGAGTTACTTCTGATAATGTGGCTAGGCTGATTTATTTTTTTCTAGTCTTTGGAGTTAAAAAGAAAACGAAACATTGTCAACTGATCCTTGAGAAAATATAGATTCAGAAAAGAAATCAAATCCTCCTAACTTATTTTGTGTTTTGGAAGCAAACTTAGAACACATATTGCCACTTTTTGGTAGAACAAGAATTTACTGCCCTGGCAGACATTGTTTTTGCAGATGTACTCGTCAATGAGCAAGGCATTTTTGGTACTATGTGTTTATACCCTCTTTGCCATGTGCCACAAACTGTCTGTTTTTGGACTGCTGGTTTTCAGAATTGAATCCATCTAATCCTTGCAATTTCACTAAGAGGTCCCCTGCCTTCTGACCTTTAATACTACATGTATGGGTTCATTTCCTGGATCCAGTCTGAGTGTGGAGAACAGCTATAAGAACAGTTATGTCTATGAGATTTCTACTTAAATCTGAAAAGTCTATTAGGGATGTGATCTCATGAGAGTTTTGCTATTTGGGAGTGAAATCTTTCAAGCACAGGCATTTTGACACTGTTAATTCTAAACCTGGATTAAGCTGTTTTATAGTCTTGAATTTCATTTAAACCCAAAATAGCTCCTTCTCACAGACTATGTTTCTCCGTATTGAAGAGATCCTTTATTTAACTAGCAATAAATTACAATTAAAACCAACAGTGTGCTAGTTCAAGGGGTTCAGATTAACAAAGTAGACTAAGTGGCAACAAAATATTAAATTGCTTCATCCCACAATTCAATATAACCAACTTTTCCAAGAAAATGGCAAAAGAAGCTGCAAAACACGCATTCTTTACTCGAAGCCCCTAAGGGAATGGCTCGGTTATTTCTCTGATAAACGTCTTACAATAAGCTGATTACATTCCTGTCCAAGTCAACAAAATCATCTTTCTACCTTTATGATGGGTTGTTGGACTTGACAAAAAGGGAAGTAAATCTATAGGGAAATCAAGCATGAAAGTCTGTATACTGTCTAACTCCTTTTAAAGGTGTGCTGCATGCAGAAATAATATTTTCTTCAATTTATTCCAGCATGATAAATAGTTTCTGCAGTTGTGTTCCAATTGCCATTGCAAAGAACTAAGGGTGGAAACTCAGCAAGGGTCAAAACGACAGCCCACATTTTTAGTGATGCATCTTGCAGCTCTCCTTTCAGTGATAAAGAGCTGGATTCAAAGATGATCTTGTCAACTGGAGCTCTGAGACTGACACTTTTAGAATTCACATCACACCTGAATACGTTGAAGGATACTTTCACTGGGGCATAACACTGTCTGTTAGAATCTCTACACTCCTGATTGCACTTCCATTAAATAATTTACAGGTTCTGCAACATTTGCATGTTATGCAGACAGCGTTTTGGAGGTCCGGTAACAAGTGGCTATGGGCATTTAGACTGGGGTTGAATCCTGCAATCTATGTTATGCATTACTTAAGTCCTGACACAGTACTGCAAAACATTTTCTGAAGTGCAGAATAAATAATAAAGCTAATTTGGTGATTATTCTGAGGAACAGATATCAATATGTTAGTGTAATATGCTCTGTCCCATTCACTACAATGAAAATCCAGATTTCTGGGTGAGAGATTTCCTTGACATCTATTGGGATATAAGGTCCTCAGCTCTCTGGAAGAATTTTGGAATTATTGTTCTGGACAATGAGAAATATATGTAAAAAAACTTATTTTAAAATAATTCATCTTCTCAAGGCAAAGTGAGTTCAAAAAGCCCATTCTTATTAGACCACACTTTAGGACAATTAGTGAGTTAAATGCACTAATACTACTAACTTTTCATATGGATAAGAGGACAGTAAAGGATGAACAAAGGAGATCTTATGAATGAATCTATAACTGTATATACTTACTAAAACTTTGATTCACTGTGTGAAAACCCAAAGACTCAATGGCTGGAAAAGACTAACAAAATAATTCAAATATTTTAATATTTAAAATTTTTAATATTTAAATAATTTAAATTCTAAATCTACTAAAGTGAAGAACTTGTTTTCTTTTAATTTAATATAAGGAATCATAAGTCATTACTTAAAATATTGACGAAAGACAAAAAGTAGCTATGGACAAGTAGATTAGTTGAAGATGTGTATGAAAATATCTAGACTCATGTTCATCCTCCAGAGAACAAACAACATGTTGTTATTCCCAGACATCCTTAGTGTGTCAGTGAGCTCCATAATTTGACACCTAAATTTGGATGTCTTCCTGTGCGCTAGGTGTCAAAGCTCCCATCATTGGTAATGGATCCAGCCAATTCATTCACTGGAGACTTGTATGTGATTCAACTGTACAGCCAACAGAACTTCCCTTTCTCAGAACGTCATCCTTTCCAATGAATGGCTTGAGATCCTTGTTCCTCAGTGTACAATATTATCTTTAACTCTGTTTATCACATTTCCATTTTTTCAGTCACAAGCATGTTTATTATATGTTTTCTTCCAAGGTCTCTGATACCATCAGTTCATACAGTAGGATCAAGAATGGATCCTAGTGGGCTCACTAGAGATCCATCTTCTTTGTTAGATGCTAGTGTGTAAGAATTGGATATGTTTTTCAAGCAGAGTACATAATTGGCTTATGTTGATGTCATAATTAACCCCTCTTGCACTAAGATGTACTTTCATGGTTGTGTGTAAGATAGATAGCATGATGCTTTGATGGCCAGTCTGGCAAGTGTCTTATTGAAGTCCCTTCATTCTTTCTAATACCTGATCCCTACCTGATCTTTCTCTTCCTCTTCCAGTGACGCTTCCAAGGACAGTATCACTCCACATAAGGGGCAGGGGAAGACAGGTGGGTGCTGAAAGATGCACGAAGAGGAAGATGAAGTTTCCAGGACATACTATGGGGTGGGGAGCTTGGTGAACATGGAAGAGGGAATGCCTATGGTTCATCAGATCTTCTAAGGCCAACTCACTAAAGAAGGGTTGAATAACCCCAAGTTGCCAATCCTGTTTTGGACTCCCTTTAGAACAGGCAAAGACACTTGCCTCTTTCTACCCTTAAAGGAATCTGGCAAAAAAAGCACACACAACCCAACCTCCCCTGGCCCTCCCCAGCCCACCCCCCACCAGTTCACATACAACCCACATGTCCCAACAGAAATCAGTGTGCCTCTGACTATAACAAGATTATTAGCTTTGCTTTATTATCAGCTATTCACAAGACCTCATGGTGCATAAGCAGTCAGGATGATAGGACAGGCTTCTTCTGAGGCCAAGGGAGTAGGTCAAATGTTTTTGAAGGGATTTCCCTCAAAAGTTACCTCAGTGTGCTCTGACTTGCAGGAAAGGCATGGCAGCTTTAGTAATCAAACCAGTTTTTCATCTAAAGGCTAGGAAATGACTGCCACAGAACTATATAGTGGAAACTGTTTGCAGAAATTACTAGGATCATTGTTTCAATAATATCCAACCAATACGAGCAACTCACATTTGGATCCTGAGGAAGAAGCCCCACTTGAGGTGGATCGTGATGCTCCTTTCATGGAGAAAACCCCTTTGCCTCTGCGAGTTGTTGTCACAGCCACACGAGGACGCTTCAGTGGAATCACTGCACGGGGTGGTGGGGGGACACGGCCATGGTAATCAAACAACCTAGAAAAGATTAAGTCAGCTGGACTTCATAAAAACTTCTGTGATTTCATGTCGTGGAAGACCTGTCAACTAAATTTTCATGTTATCTTTGAGAAAATTACCCTTTGAAACCATAATCACTTTATATCACAGTGAAATTAGATTTCAATGACCTATGCACATTAAGTGTCATATTCAGATTTCAGTCACAGACCAGTGCATAGCTCAGAGTTTTTGCGTAATTTAAATGAGGGATGTATTACAGGACTGTTATTTGCAGTATGGAAAATCTGTAACCTGCTTTCCACAGGTCCACATAATTTCATTGCACTCAACTAACAGCAGTACAGTCTGTTGTGGTGACATTTCAGGTCCTTTACTACATGCATGGCTTAAATTCTAGTTTTTTATCTGCTATCCTTAAACATAGAAACAGAAATGAACTTTTCTGAAGCCAACCATCACTATAAAGAAATATCCTGCAGTTTTTAAAATACCAAAAGAGTCTTTATAGTGAGGGACCTGTATGTCCTTCTGAATGCATTGAAAAGATGTCCCTGCATACATTCTCTTGAATTAAAGAATGAATTGATGTAGAATCACTAAAATACCCAAGCACGCTTAATAAATAAAAGTCTTGTTCAAACCAAAACCACTGTAGATATTCAGAGAATTACCACTACAGTCAATACAAGATACTCTGCAACCAAAATTAACTAGGTTTCCCAAAGAGAATACCCCAATGGTAAAAACACAGTTATCAACAGGAGCTAACTAACCTGTGCAGAAGAAAATAAGGGCAGTAGAAAAGGTAATCAAAGCTACAGATATATTTAGAACATAAAAACTATGAGCTTTGAATATGACAGGTCAGGAGAAGAAAGTTTAGAAAATGGAGATTTCCAGTTCAAAGACTGAAGGGGAGGGACAAGCAACATTCTTTCTTACAAAATATTTCAGCTGATACTTGCAACTAGTAATTATGGAAATTTATAACTGCATGTTTAATTTTCACAATTCTGACTACTGTCACGCAGCTGGACAGATAGATACACATTTGAAATCAGACACACAAGAAGCAGTAATTCACTCACCACAGTGTCTAACAGCATGCTGAACAGGAAGCAGAATTAAACATAAGTCTTCTCGCCTGTTTTCTGGCAAGTAAACACCTAATGCTTAAATCCCAGTATGCTTACTGTTGTCTGTACTGTAATCCTACAGACAATATAACCAGCTCTCTCCTTTTCCATGGCTGCCTACAAAATATGTCACAGAGATCCTGTCATCCCTACTGAACCTGGACTCCATGGCCTTGAATATTCTTACTGAATAAGCAGTTTCTAGCCATTGTGAGTATCATTTATCATATTAGATTACCTGTTGGTCACAATCTCCCATTTGACATCATTACTGGAAAAAATGTTTCAGAAGATCTGTAAGCTATCATGCAAAAGATCATTATGTAATTATTCCTCCAAAGGTGATTTTTTTCTAGCTTCCAATAGTTCATGTTTAGACAATGTAGTGAAATGCAAAACTATGCTTCCTTTTTTGAAATATATAAAAGGACTGTAATCTAATATTACTATTCTTTTATTTTTGAAATTATGCACAGCTTTTGGGCTTGGTATTTTGTTGCACCAAGCTCTACATATTTCAATGATATGCTTTCTTAAAAAAATGCTTCCTTTTATCAGTTTTGAAGTACCCCACCTGTTTTCCTTGTGCTTGTAATAGGAGAAATGATAAACAGAAATGCTCAGTTCTGAAGTAATTTATCCCAATAATCACTAATGTGCATATAACAGTGCCTTTTCTCTCACCCACCCTTCTAAATTGTGCAGTCCTGATCTTGCCCATCTGCCTTCATACTGATTTTATTTTACAGCAGTAACCATTCTTGCCACCCTTTTCTCACCCCACCACTGCTTTAGTCAAGACAAGATAGGTGTCTTCTTCCTTCAGGGAAGTTGGAAAACTAATGAATATTAGAAAACAAGCCCTGTGGTTTGGGATAAAACACAAAATTCAGAAAATTCAGAAGTTCAGAAATTCAAAGAATCATGACAATTTTTCTTAAATTATATATCCTATAGGCATGTTGAAAGTATATCCAACTCTCCATGGGATTTTCTTTTCCATATCTACCGTAGAGATCTTTTAATCTTCCACTTCCATTAACTTGGAACTAACTGAGACCCTTAACCTCCTAAGATTTTTATTATCAACAGATCAGCATGTCCAGCTTGGTGAGGCCAACCTCATATTTGGGTGTTCTACTATAAAAGTTCTGCTGTCTCAATCCTGAAAGACTTCTAAATCAGAACATCATACTATTGAATAGATTTATGGACATATTTCACTGTCAGCAGTTTTCCATAACAAGACAATCACCAGGATAAACACCACAGAAACAACCTTTAATGTCCCATAAGTTGTTTTTTGTTGTGGAAATGTAACCCTTATAGTTGTTCATTTGTGCTGCTCATAATATACAGAATTAGGGAAAAAAACTAAAGACACATAACTTTAATATTAAGGTGGCAAAGATCAGAAACAGTACTCTGTTTAAAACCATACAAATCCACTGATGAAATTCAGAGCAGTAACCTTGTGGAAAGGAAACACAAGCCTGTCCTTTTTACAGGACATGAGCTGTGCCTACTCTCAAGGCTAAACTGAGCAGGATTAAACTGCATCAATGACTTTTACTCAATGTGTTTATAATTCACTATTTTTAGCTCTGTCCAAAGTGAGCATGATCATTTATATGCAAAAACAAAACTAGTGGTTAAAATTGAATCAACACTAGGAAAAAACAGAACCAAAACCCATTGTTTCTACATTTTTCCTACAGTGTTCCTAAACAGAAAGGAACATAGCACGCAATAACTTCAGGGTGTAAACTACGCCCCTGCCATTGTCCATTGCTTTACATAAAAGAAATCTCAGATTAGAAGAGGTTGGTGAAGCAATTCTTTGTTTCCCTTCGACTCACTTGGCCTATGCTAAACCGGGCTGCTGTAATGTAGAGACACAACACTGCTGGATGAGTTGGTTATCCATAGTCATCCATGTTAGGCCTATGTTGTGGTGATTCTGCTACATCTGAATGAATAAATTCCCACGGTCCTGAGCTAGCCTGTGCATATCTACTCAAGGCACAATTCTCCGATTGCTCAGGTATCCACAGTTCTTTTCCTCTTATAGAAACACACGTGCTGTTCAACTTGTGGTTTTGGTTCCCTCAGGGTCCTTCTAGACTTCTAAATGTTCTTGGAAGACACATTTTTCAGGAGATATTGTATATCTTTTCATACATATGGATGAAAAGACAAAGACATGAGTGTCATACTGAAGAGTTTTACAGCTGCTGCATGTTCCAGTGAAAGTAAGCCTGGAAGAATTCTGTAGGAAGAAACACCGAGCAATTAAACTACCATTAAACTGATCAGCACAGAAAATGCCCCAAAAGCTTAGAGAAGGAAAAGACCAAAAGAGCTGTTTAATGAGCGTACATTTGGTGGTGGCAATCTTCTCTGTTTGTGATATATTCAAATACTCTTCTTCTGATACACAATAGAAATAATGAAATGAATAATATGTAAAATCAGAACAGACCTGTCTAACCAAATGATGTGATTACATTATAAACAAACAGTAGAAATGGTGTAGGATGTAAAAAAAATATAGCCACACATACCGATTGTAGAAATCATCTCTGTAGTAATCATAATCAAAGACATAGCCACTGTGGAAAGACACAGAAAAACAAGAATGAACTGGTTTATAGAAAAATATGCATTGATTAAAACTTTTGTGGTAATATTGACTTACTCTCACATTCCAAACCCTTGTCCAAAATCCTGCCACTTCTTTTCCACAACCATACACTGTACAATATGTTTGTCAATGCTGTTGTCAGCTATCCCTCTAGTGTATTTGGAAATGTAAAGTCTGGGGTATGCAGAACAGTATAAACAGTTGACAGCTCATATAGAAAGGATTTAAAACAGTGCGACAGCTCTGTAATTAGAGCATCATTATAGTGTAATTCTCGGAGTGATCAAATGAAGTGAGCACTCTAATACTGAAGCCCTCTTATTTGCCAGACTAACATAGCATGATCAGTGGGCTAGGAAGGCTCTTAAATACATGAAAGACTGGTAAATGAGTGAGTAGGTGAGCAGAGATAAGAGAGTGAATTTGATTCATGAGAAACATGAAAAGGGTTGGACTGTTGGTCCTTGAGTTCGCCAAATCTTCTTTCATCATAAAAAGAAAAACGTTAGAAAAATGAATGATGCTAGCAATAGTGTGACAGAGATGCCTTTCCTCTCAGGTTCAGAAAGGAATATACATACCAGTCTGGGAAAAGACAGGCACCATCAAGGGAAACAAATATAGGTAGGAAATTGCAAAGGTCCAGGGGAAAACTATTTTTGAGCTGTCAATTGCAAAGTCAATCCTAAATTGATCTTCCTAGTTTTGCATTCCATTAGCGACTTTCTACCTTTATGGTGAAGAAATAGCAATGAAGTCTATCTATATCTCACACATCCAAAAGAAAAAAAAAAGAACCAAAGAGCTAATAAATGGTCTGCATGGAAAAGTCACAAGGGATCTGTACTCTCATGAAGGACTAGTACCACAAACCCAAAGTTTTTCACTTGCCTGAGGACAATTATGAATAGTAAAGGATGAGAGGCATGAAGAAAAGATCACAAAAAAGGAGAAGCTTTAAATACAAAAGCAGAAAGGTAGAAAGGAGAGAGTTAGAGAGGACAAAGCACAGAAGAAAACGTTTACTGAAAATAAAGGGAGATGAATGATGGTAGCTACATATTAATGAAGTTTGTTTTCACAGGGAATGGACTTGTGGATAATTTCTGCTCTTGAACATTGAGCAAAATGCCTTCAATTTTTGTTTTAGTGCATAATTTGAAAAAGGTGTCAAGAATTCTGGAGTTCTCTGGGTTTGTTTTTCCTCATCACATAATGCCTCTTTCCCCTTTTCTTCCCTTTGCTATGTTTCAGAGGTTGACCACTTAAAAGAGGGAAAAAATAGAGTTGGCAGGCTTAAATTACCTCAGTAATAATTTCATCCCAGGGTTTTGATTTTGAAGGCTTGCAATTTCCCCTGTCTACAACTGGCAAAAACATCCATCAAAGGAGCAGGAGGTCAGGGCACAATTTCCACCTCTGCCACATCTGCCTCAATGCAAGTGCCCAAGTGCAAGTGATAGGATAGGTTGTGCTGTCTACCCACATAATACTGGACCAGCAGTGAAAATCATGAGACTCACCAGATGAGAAAGCTGGCTGTAGTCCTGCTGGTAATTTATTTGAGAAAAGAAAGCTCTATATGCATTTTATGTGATACACTTACTAAATAAAACAGCCCTGAGAGACTAGCAGCAGGTAAGCTGTGTGTGGCAGAGGAAGAAAAATAACATTATGTAGTAATAGTTAGACCTTGTATCGCAATCATGTTTCTGTATCTTACCTTAACAAAAAACTAGCAAAATTTCCCCTAAATTATGCGACAGCTTTTAGTTTGTCTTTCACTCTAGAGCCAGTCTACCTGGAACTAAGAGGTAGCAGGTAGCAAACCTATTATTTTATTTACAGCTATTCACAGTTTGCTAGTGGTTTTATTTAGCTGAATGGTTAATAGCTTCAGTAAGCCCATAGTTAATATTTAATTTGTGTTTTTAAGTAGAAGATAACAGACAATTTGAAGGAAAAAGATTAAATTTAAAAGGCCTGTCACATGAAACCTTTCACCTGGAGTGACATTAATTTAATTAGCATAAAGACCAGATAAATTCAGTTTTTCAAGGTTGAATACCGGAATAATTTACTTTGCACCAACTAGAGTAAGGCTGAAGGGCAGCTATATCTTTCTGTGGCAACTCATGTCTGGCCCATAGGATGCAATAAGGACTGCTGGCCCTTCACTGGGCTTTCAGAGCATGGAACTTCTCATACACAAATGCCATGACAGAGGTGGCTCAAAGCCATCCTCAGGAATGATGGGGCACAGGAGGGGGAGAGGTTTCAGGCTGGCATCTGAGTATGCTAGGGAAAAACATCAGTAGACTTGAGAGAGAGTTGAGTGGTTGGGAAAGGATCACAGGTTCCTCAGATGAGGGCAGTCGCAGGCAGTGGAGGTTTTGGGTAGGGAAATGCAGAAAAGGGTTTCTGGTGTGGCAACCGATTGTTTCTCTCCTTCTCTACCTTCTGCTCTCGCTCTCACTGAGAAGATCCTGTCACACAGAATTCTTCACACAGAATATTTTTATCTTGTTGAAAAATGTGGCTTATAATTATTTTTTATTATTATTTTTTAATTTAGTGTAACATCTGGGATAATATTTCTCTTTTGGGAGGAACAGTTTTGCACATTTCATTCTTTTGCACTGTTCCCATTCAGGTAATTTCTGTCTTGAAACAGAACTCAGTTCCTTATGTTCCTTTGGCTTTGCAAATAACAGCTTCAGCTGACAAGGTCTAATGCTTATCTCTGGGACCAGAGCAGGAAAAAGTAGAAGCATGTTTTGGAGTCTGGTTATCACATGGCAGTGTAATCTATGCATTCTTGTAAATTCTTATGGGTTGCTTATATTACCTTTTAAAAATATTTCATTGCTTCAGAAGCATCTGACACTGTTATCATGTCTTTTTCACCCGTAGAAACCCCAGCAGTTTTCATATAGTGTTTTACAGCTGATGCTATCTAAACAGCTCTGCTACAGATGTTGCCTCTAACCTTAAAGGAAGGTCCTTTGCATTTTTGCACGGTTTAGTTCAGTGGCATCCATTGCTACTGAGATGAGAGGTAACTGCAGGTATTCTGTGTGTTGCATCACATTCAGTCTCTGAAACGGGCATACACATGGTTTTAGCTGTAGCAAACGTTATCCAAGTTATCCTTCTTACCCATGTCTCTGCCAAAAGTTTGTTGACCCCATGTCTGGGATAGGAGATGCGAACATATTGTGGCTTCTAACATTGCAACCTGCTAGCACAATTGACAAGCTAACAGAAGTTGATTTGCTTACATTTCTAGTCTGAGTTTATTGTAAGTGAAATCTTCTTCACAGTTCAAGGGCATTCCTACACGATAAGGGTGCTGGAGACTCCAGCAGGAGGTGGGGAAGGGATCTCTGCTTTCCCCACAGACCATTTGGGATCTCTCTGCACTGGCAAAAGGCATTTGTGTGTGGAAGTACTATTCATAAGGGGCAGGAAAGAGCTGGTTCTGCACATACAGGGACTCCTTGCCTGGGACCACTGGCAAAGATGTGGCAACAGCTCCTTCACCCTCAAGGTGGGAATAACACCTAGAGGTGCTAGAGGTGGATGGGCTACTATGAGCTCCAACAGAGCAAGGGGCTCAATTCTTTTTCCCTTTCCCATTACTTAGTTTCCTTGAAGAAAGCTGATTGAATTCAGGTGTTGATCATAGAGGAAAGACATCTTTCCATCCTATCTATTAAACTAACAGAAGGACAACAACACGGTAGGACCTTATCTGTAGGTCTGGACCCTTATGGAATAAGACAGGTAAAGGATGGTGGGTTTAAAGCTCTGGGAAATCTTGATGCAGATCCTTCTTTATATCCATGATCCTCTCTGAAATTCTACTTGCAGCTGTGGCAGCACAGGAACACAGAGGCAACATGCTGTAGCTCCTGGGGTGGTGTCCTTCACTGTGACTGCTGAGTTAACAGCACACGGATGCAAGACATCATGGCATGGATGCAAGATCCTTAGACATCTGGGGTTTTATAAAGGCAGTTCCAAGTCCTCTTGGTGTGAAGCAGCTGTCCTGCATGTGTACTGAAAAGGCTATGAACCAACGACAATGAAAAAGAACCCAAAATGCATGACATGGGAGAAAAAAAATCTCTTCTGTTTCTCCAACTGATCTCACTTGGCTTTTTTCTTTTGCATTCCTTTTTTTTTTTTTTTTTTTTTTTTCAGTTGAATGATGATGATTCATTTGTAATAATATGTTAAAGAGATTGTACTGTGAAAGCAACCAGTACATCTCTCCATCTACAGCCATAATTGTTCACACTTATGCATGCCAGGGGACAGACATAAGCTTTGGCCAGTGCTGCGGTATAAAACACGAAGCAGAAAATTAGGACAGATAATCACGGGCACTGAGATCAAGGTGACTGCAGGGCTCTTAACCTCTTGAGAGTTATTCCTTAGCAACCCACCAACCTGTGTTACGAAGGCTGCAGGAAATCACTCCCACGGTGTTGAATACCAAATACTCAGCAAGTCAGAAGCAGAGAAAGGTTTAAACGAGCCTGTGAACTGGTGGAGTCAGCGGTTTCCTAATGGCATTGTAAACAGGCAGATTACTTACCCACAAACATATGCCATCGCTGCAATATTAACAGAAGCGTGTGCATGATGTTGCTATTAAAATGGAAGACAGTAAAAGACACTGTAATGCTCACACTGAGGCAAAGAAAACTCATCAATAAAGTGTGTTTCTGTTAAGTAGAAGGCATGGTTCCTTCTTCCGACTTAGTATCACCAAGACAATGTTGTATGAGTTGTCTCTTTTAGCTTCACTTCACTTAACACTAAGCCTGATTTAAATTGTGTATGCCTGAAGAATAAAGGATTCCTCAGAGACCGTATTTTCAGAGTGATAATGCTGTACATACTCAAATTTCCTACGTGCATCAGCAATTGTATGTCTGTCAATCAGGCAAACGTAAAATTATGCTTCTGCATCTTTGAAATAAACTCATGG